AAGATGAGAACTGGCGACTTGGTAGTACAACTTTAGTACGCGGAGTATCTGGGGAGTGGGAAGATGAGAACTGGTGACTTGGTAGTACAATGACTTGGTAGTACAACTTTAATACGCGGAGTATCCGGGGAGCTGGAAGATGAGAACTGGCGACTTGGTAGTACAACTTGAGCACGCGGAGTATCTGGGGAGTTGGAAGATGAGAACTGGTGAGTGGGTAGTACAAGTTGAATACGCGGAGTATCTGTGGAGCTGGAAGATGAGAACTGGCGACTTTGTAGTACAACTTTAGTACGCTTCATTCCAGCTTGCTTTTTTCAGTGAGATTTCCTGGAGGCGTGCACGCTGCTTCTCCCCTTACCAGCCCAAATGCTCACGACGATGAGCTGGGCTGTCACCGCTTGGCCGCCGGTGGGGGGGTTGGGAGGCCTGCGCGCTAATTCGTTCACTATATGTACAGTGAAGACCGTCACCAGCAGCAGACATGGACATACACACACAGACAGGGACTCATACACACACACACACATCACACACAGAGACCCACGCACTGCCTCAACTTACTCGGACACACACACAGACAGAGACTCATATACACACGGACATAGATACACACACAGAGACCCACGCACTACCTCAACTCACTCGACTTAACACTTCACACTGCACACTTAACAGATAACTCGCACTCTGACTTCCTACGTGATGAAAAATGCTTTCGGGCAACTCGTCGTCTAGTTTTTTTTGGGGGGTGCTGATGCCCCCGCTGTCATCAGACCGCTCTAATATACCGCATGCCTGTGAGCGGCTTGTGCGGCGTGGTTTTTGGGGAACCGGAGGCCCAGGACTTGGGGGAGTTGGTGGACCTGCACGAGCTGAAGCTTCGTGTGGTGCCGCTACCACAGGCGCTGCGATGGCCGATGCAGACAATGCAGACTGCATTTCGGCGAGCCCGAAAGAATCCCCATTTAAGACTCCGCAATGACTCTGATGTTCAAACCTTGGGTCTTGTAGCCACGTGAACAGATTAGAATGAGTTCAACATGTTCCAGAACAAATGTCTGAAAAAAAATGAAAAACATAGTTGGACCAGGCTTGTCAAATATAGCCTGTTTTGATGTCTCCAATCTGAGATCTCGCGTCTCGTGTGGCATCACCAGAGGAATTCCCTATTGGATCCAGTTCCAAATGACCTCCACGTTTGACTCCAGGGCCGCTTCCCTGTTCAGCATGTCTTCTGGAGGCATGTGCTGGGCACACGGTGCGATGACTCACCAAATGCTCTCAAACAACTCGGCTGCTACTCAGACTCTGTTCTAATTTGTCAAAGGCTCCCAAAGACATAAAGATATTCTGGTCTGGATTCGATATGCCACAAAACCAACATGTTTGCAGTATTGAGGGCTGCACCCCTTTCTCCCTTTGCTGGTCGCGCCTTTTCAACTTCAATAGCACCCACCAGTCCACTCTGAACATTTGCACAAGGCTAAGATGGTTGATGAGGAACATGCTTCCAAATGCCGGGGAAGTAGAAAGAGAAGAGATCTTTGTGGGGTAAATGGGGGAGTGTATTTGCTACATAGACTGCCCAGCCAATGTAGGGCGATCTATCAGACTCTTCAGTCGCATAGATCGGACATGTAAGTAACTGTCAGTAGCATGATTCTGTGGCTCGCCCTTGATACGCGGCCGTGGTGTTTCGCGCAAGTTCGTTTGGTATGTGCGGTAGTAACGTAGAAGTATTGACGCTTCTTCAGGGCCACTGGGGAGAAGTTGTACGTGTGTTTTTTGGTACATGTTTTTGTAGATTCTTGTGGACTTGCAGACCCAGTTGATGCTACGCTGGGGCAGGGTGGGGTGAGGTGGGGTGGTGTCAACGCTCATGTGAACTTGCAGCATGAACATTGCCTCTTGAGGGCACACAAGTGATCGGCAGAAGTTCATTGCAATTGCTGAATAAATGCTTTGGTGGCCTGCGCATGCGAACTCAACAGTAACAGTTGGGCCATACCATCATGTGTGATCGTGTGATGTAGTGGGTGCGGAGACACGGCCTCCCCCGTGATTCCCGCGAGATGCATGGGCGCTTGATGGTAGCCGTGGTGTGAAAACGCCATGGCCACAGCTGTCTGTACTAGTAGGTAAAAGTATGTATTCTTGCCATTTCTTGCCAAAGGAGACTCAGAAGCCGACTCTGTCCCTTTGCGGCAGGTGGCAGGCTCACTTTGCCGCAGATCATCAGCAGAACTTTTTGAGTGCCTCAAGGCCTGATGTCTGGCACCGACAAACAGATAGCACAAACAACCTCTACCGAGTGTGACCGTCCGATAGACAAGGGAAGCTTGAACACGAATAGGCTTGAAGTAGAGCTCTGATTCTGATGTTTGTGCTCCAAGTTCAGTCGAACATGGAGCATGCTGCAGCATACTTGGCATACCCTTGATCAAGTCCTCTTACCAGTCACAGGACCTCCCCTAACAAAAGACGGTGTGGACCCTAGGAGTGGCGTCACCAGGATTTTTTGACAAATGCCGCCTCGCCTCGAGATGTTTGAAATTGCCTTGGTGACACAAATGTTGCAAATATGCGATCAAGACAGAGTTTTATTGTATACATAATGTATACTAATGCCTAATGCATCCTTTTCTTGTATGAGCACCTGGTAGCTGGTGTGAAATACAACTGTTGAGCATTGAACAATGTATTGTGCAAAGAATCGGAACCTGTCTCTTGTGACAAAGACTGCTTATGAATACTCGCCACCATGCCCTCCAGGGCTTTTGAGATACTGTAATTTGCAGGTTGCGAGCCTATGCATTGAAACCAGTGATCATGTTCCTCAGTGAGTGTGTACCTCAGCTGCATAGGCAGCATTGGGAGGGTGGAAGGAGGTGCTGGGAACACATGGTGGTGGACAGCTTGTAGTATGGCAATGATCTTGATGGTGGCTATAGTAGGTCATGATGTAGCATCTCATCCAAACGTGTGTCCGTGTGTGTGTGTGTGTGTGTTTTGATTGGCTATCCCGATGACGAACATGTTTCTTGAAGGTTTACCCCGCGCTCGCAGGGTGATCTAAGTGTGTGGCACGTTCTTTTCTCATACATACATATATACATATATATATATATACATGTATCACATATAAAATATATACATATATAGATCTATATGTATAGATACTATTATATATTGAGACACGTTTTGCCACATAGAAAAGAGGAGTTACCACTTTGCTTACCAAAGTCCTTTTCTGACCGTCATTGTCCATTGTTGCAGGATTGGGGCATTGTCCAACGTATTCCTCTAAATGTTAACTGCATTGCTGTGATGACTCGAGATCCTAAAATGGCAGTATCAGAGCACAAATTCAGGAGAAACTGGCTGGGTAGAGTCAGAGGTAGGATTGCTACATGCAACGAAGCTTGTTGGAGAGGTGGATCTTTACTCCAGCAGCACATTAGTTCAGAACTGAAGCCCAGCTTCCACAGAATGTAGACGTAGTATATTCTCTGTTCCCCCCAAACCTTTAGAATTCATAAATAATGTTGGCCAGTCAAAAATACTCTACCGTGTACCCGGCAAATCACTGAAATTGTCCACACGGCACTTGCACGGAGACTCCTCCACCAAAAACCCGAGGGCTTGTGTTGCAAATCAAACCTGCGGTTACCACTCCGGAATAAGCAGAATCTCAATGTTTGGTTTGCATGCATGCAATTGTGGAGAAACCTTCAAGCGCAGCGAAGGTGTATGATCCTTGCCCAACCAGACTTATTTGTTTTATTTTGTTTTGAGAGCCATGCAAAGCATGCAAAGAAGTGACTAGGGGAACAAATTCGGTACAGGTTAGGGAAAACCTGCATTTGCACTAAAACCTGAGCTTTCACTCAGAATAATTTTTAGGGGTTGGCACGGGGGTAAGCACTGGGTTTGGAACGCTGAAGAACAAGAAAGTTGAAGGGCAAAAGAAAGCAGTGGTTGGCTGACCTGAAGAAAAAGGGGCACGCCTGTTGAGCAGTGCCACGGCAGTAGAATTCAACAAACACCTTTCGCTCTGGAAAGACCTTGGCTTTACATGGCTTTACAACTGTGTGTGTAGAGTTGCTCGAGGTTTTGAATCAAAACCAATGGTATTTATATATAGCACATCTTTGTCAAAACCAGAGGCTTTCTTGAACATCCTTTCCTTAAAGCTATTGGGTGCCGGGGGTACAGATTCTCGTCACTAGGAGCTTTGCCTCTTTCTGGATGCGGACAACGTTGCACTGCGGCCTCCACAGGAGATTTGCTCATGAGGAGCTACTGCCACGGGGTCTGACGGTGTTGGTCATGAGGAGCTACTGCCGCAGCTTCATGAAGTTCCTGCCGTTTTTTGGCCCGACATGTGGCCGCTTCCAAGGTGCTTTTGGGTCCTGAAAAAGTGGGGAGCTGACACCACCGGTTCTTTATAGTTCTTTTGTGTCAAACAGCGAGCCAAGTCCGGTTCTCATTGGTCGCGCGTTTTAGGGTTTGCTCCTAGTACGTTTGATTCAGGGATGCTGCTGATTCGCTTTTGTGGCAGTTCTGTTTGTTGCAGGGCTTTGATGATATCGTTCACACTTTGACATGATCCTCCCGATCACAAAACATATTTTGTTGCACTGCGACTGCAGAGCGAAACAAGAAGACTGTATGTGTTGTTGTGTTTTGAATGGATCACAGTTTTATTCCTCTAGCGATTGCAAAGAAAACTTAGTGTAAAATCTGACTAGAAAATGCTGCACAACGCACCAGAGGATCGATTCTTGTCTTTGAATGTCTTTGACATGATTTTGTTGACCTTGTGTTAGTGCAATTTCAGTTGTGTTTGATCGTGGAAGGCGAGGTTGGTGGGCGCAGTGGGAAGCGGCCCCATCGCAGGCCCATCCACAAGGTGTCTTGTTCAATGTCAATGTTCGCATTTGAGCCATCTCGGCAAGTTCCCACATTCAGCTGCCCTTTGCAGGCTTCCAGTCCCAGTCTTTTCGGCCCAAAGAATGGATTATCGATTATTTGGTCTTGATTTTTTGTGTGATAGATCAGTAAAGTCAAATTAACAGTTTAGGCTAGGAGTTGCCAACATACCATGTCTCCTGCATGGTGCTGCCTTCTGTCATGTTCTTTCTCCAGGAGAGTGGCCAGCTCTTGATCAACAAGACTGCCCCAGAGGTTGGATTCAGAATTATTGATCCTGTGGCACCTTAGTCACATATCATTGAATTAGTTTACCTCGTTAAGAACAACATAGATTAGATCAAATGAGACGCCAAGTTTTCACACTCTGACACTTGTATTCAGTGAACTCAGTTCCCACGCTGGGAAGGAAGGTGACAGAACTGCATGGTGAAAAGTCCGAAAGACTTGTAGGTGTTTCAACAAGTTGTTGGTCAAGTCTGCTGAACGATCGGTCGGCGCGGCGCAGCTGCAAGATAAACGCGGCAAAGGGGAGGTTTTGGGGAGGTATCATGGAACCACCATGACAGCAAACCAAAGGAAGAGTGGAGTCACAGCTTGATAGAACGGCAGGTACGCAGGGCTGATCGGGCCCTGCTTCCCACTCCCGCCCACAGCTTCGTTGCGTGTGGTAGGGCGGGAGTGCCACACGCCCCTGCCTGATTGGAGTGGTCGAAGGAAACCCTTTGTCCAGGGGTGGACACACACACACAGCTGCGTGTGGGCGTGCATGCTCAGTTTGGATCTTGCAATTCTAGTCAGAAATGTTGCCCGGCAACACATTAGGCACTAGGAACAAGGACGCTACTACGTAGGGGATCCTCGAGCTGAGCTTCCCAGGTGCGTCGAGCTCTTTTACTTAGCACGCTCTTTGCCGTTCGCTGGGATCTTTTCCTTCAGGACGATCGGGCTGGGGGTTTTTCATGGTATTGTTCCATGGAACAGGTCCAGGTGAACTCAGACAGGGCTCAGCACTATGTGCTCCGAAATCGCACCAGTGTGCAGCCTAGATTTCGCTAGGGAAGCAGTACTTGTCCGCCATCCACACCGTGGCCCGTGGCCAAACCAAGGTTCAGGCTTATCTAATCTATACATGCTGTATCATAATAGTGTCTTCGGTCATTTTTGGCCGAGTGCTGCGGCTGGCCTGATCAAGGGAAGTGAGCCAGGTGCTGTGAAAAGACCCAGAGGGAATCTGACTGAGTCAGTGCTGTGATGGCGATTCGTAGGTGATTTGTCGTCGTGTCTTGTTCGTTGCCTTTTTTGTTTGCGGGCACCTGCAATCCTCTCTCCCATTAAAGCCTCCCCTGTCTCTCTCCTTGAAGAAGGCCTGTTCCTGGTTGCTTTTCTTGAGCGAGCTCCCGTGGTACAGGGTGTCCAAAGGTACTGTAGTTACTTTAAGTGGTGAACGGCCATGTCATGTCATTTCCACCTTTCTTTGTTGTACCAAAGGCTCCCATGTCTACTGTACTCTTCTTGCAACAGTTTGTCAGCACAGTCGTTTCAGATGAAGCAACTCCCACGGACAGAGTCAAGGACATGTATCTCACCAGTGATGACGAGCTCATGTGTGGCTATGGAGACAAGGACCAGTCAGTGGCTCAGCAAAGTAGAAGGAATTGGAGACAGCTCATTTTTTTGCTGTCTTGTTGGCCCCACGACCTGTTGATCAACATTGAGTGCTGGACCTCCTGGTCGCTTTGGGTCATTAGTTGTCACGAGATGCTCCAGATTTCATTGAGTTGCAGGTCTTTCCATGTCTTTCCAGTTGCTTCCACAACAAAAGAACAGAGACTCGGTTTAATCTTCAACCGCTTCGAATTCCTTTGCAGGACGTGTACCAGTTAGCCTTCCGGCTGTTGCACGTCCCCTTTCGAATGATGGCTGCTGGCTTGCGCTTTCAGAATCCATGGCTTTTTAGCCTCATCCATTGGTTAGGCGAATCCAACAGCCTACAAAACCCCCTGTTTTTGTTAGTGGGAAGCCAACAAGTCCACGTCACAAACGGACGAAATCAAGAAATTCAGAAATGGTGAGTTTCCGAATTTCTGCCAAAGTAAAGAATTTCAGAGTCTTGGATCCACCTAGTCGGCATTGGTCATCCCAATATCCCGTCTTGAAGATCTTCAAGGTAAAGAACAGAAACGCCGGGACTCACTTGCAGACCGTGTTGGGGTGTGTTTACAGCACATGGCCAGGTCATCAACATAACACAACCGTGCACAGTGTTTGTCTTCACCAAAGACAATGGGGTTTGTGCTACTCGAACGACAATGGAGATACTTAACCATGATACCATGGAACCAGGACACTCCTTTTGAATATACTCCTTTTCGGGAGCAAGGACGCTACTAGGGGCTCCTGGCCGTACTACTAGGAACCAGAAGCTACGACGGGCTCCTGGCCGTACTACTAGGAGCAAGGACGCTACCAGGATAAACATGAGGATGGGACTGTTGCATGTGAGATCTTCATTGCTCGCCGAGGCGGATCGGCCGGCTTTGCTGGTGGAGGGCAAGCGCTACGCTGGTTTGATACAGTTGGATGGCCTAAAGCTGATTCCACCAAGTAAGTATGGTCTTTGTGTCCATGTGACTGAAGGACCTTGCAATAACTAGAGTCCTAGTCCCAGAGTGACAAATGCTCATGTTCCTAAGCTGCCCCGGACCTGCAAAGAGAACGACACTGCCTGTGAGAATCTGCGCAGTGCTTGTGTGATCTTGAGCTTGGAAAGTTGTGGACTTGCATAAAAGCACGGGCAGTCGGACAGCGGCCACACACTCAAGTGAGAGAAAGACCTTTGAGATCTTTGAGGCTAGATGCGAATCGATCCTTCTTTGCACATGTGCCGGGCGGCCTGGAACATTTGCGATGCAAGTATCAAGGCCTTCAGATCATGTCATTTTATGATATTGCACAAGATCTACCAAGAAACTGTGTGCTCACAGCTTCCCTTCTTGCCTGTCTTGTATGACATGTATCCTTTGAAAGGCTGCATTAGCCTATCCAGACAGGCATACATAGTGTACTTATATTCCTCAAGTTAGAACTGGCAGGGAACCGAGAGAATCACGGCCTGCGTTTGATTTAGAGTCCTTAGTTCAAGGAGATAATTCAGCAAGCAGACAGTGGATAGCAGGGAAAAGGTGCATTAGCAGCAAACAAGATCCTGTGTAACCACCACCGCACTAATTGTTGCGTTGCAAAGGCGATCGTTTCTCATGCTCTACGCCTTAGGGGCAATATCTATTTGTGCACATTAGATTGGTGCAGTTCTATAGATCCAAGATAATGCCTTTTCACTCCTCTCTAGTCTGTTTTTCTTGTCAAATTTTGGAGCAAGTATGAGTCCAGTATGAGTATGAGGTTATTGTTTCAGCTCTAGCTTCAACACTGCTTTCTTTGGATTGAACAGTGGACAGTCGACAAGGTCTGCAGCAAAGCACGAGATGTGGAGCCTGCTGGAGGTGGGGCAATGTGCGTGCGCATAAGTTGCATAGATCAGTACTTGATGTGATGCCATTAATCAAGTATCCACTCGGACTTTTGACAGCGGTTGAGTGGAGCTTTGCATGTCGGCATGTTTCAGGGTTCTTGTAAGCAATTTATGTGTTCGTTTGACTGTTCTTGTTGTAACCACGCTGGCCTGGTGCCACCACGCCCGCATTTTGTCAGCAGCTGATCACGAAAAGGTCTCTCACCCACTGTGCTGAGTCAGTTGCCAAGCACAAGAGAGTGAACTGATCGGCGGATCGGTGTTGATTGATAGAAAAACGCGGGATCGCTGCAGTTTCTGGGTGTTTGGTGTGTGGTGTCACTGCCAAATCTGACCCTCCCCTTTCATCCGGTCTGACCAATTAACCGTGCGTCAGGCGGGAACATTGCAACGCTGCGATGTCTCAGAGGCTCAGACAGGACCGACAGGACTTCGATATGTGACCTGTTGGGTGATCGGTCCGACAGGCGCCCAACTTCGCCACAGATGCGAACCGTGTCAACTTGATTTTGCTTACCAAGCTTTTGGTTGAGTTGGTGGGTGAGTTTTTCGTGTGTTTTGTGTACCCATGCTGGAAGTTATGATGTTCTTATGTTTTTATATGTTGTTCGCACTGCTTAAAACTGTGCGTTACTGTAGTCGTAGAAGTTGCCTGGACACATAACAGCCTACGGATGCCTACGATGTGTCCAGCATACCGCGATGTACTGCAGCTTTTGATTCAGTTAGTGTATTTGTTGCTAATTTCTTATAATATTTCTTATTGCATTTGCAGTTGTTCGCATGGGACCAATGTGGTCTTGCAGATGTTTTTTTGATGTGTGACGTACTTATTGACCACAAAATCCCAATGGCAGACGACACTTCCGGCAGCAGATGTGAGACCGCAGGCATCAAATTTGTCTTGCTCCTCCCGGAAAGGCCATGGATCGCCAACGCCTTACATACTTTCTTGTTCTGCTTAAAGCAAAAAAAACATTATTTAGACAAATAACAAATAACATCATATATAGTTAGTTCAAAGATGTTCATTGTGACGTGGCACTGGTTTCCACAGGCAAACCGAGTTGCTTACTTGGTTGCAGCGTTTCGGGCTTGATGTGCAAGACTATGTTTTGCATTGTTTTGCTAAATTTATCTCACAAGTAAATTGGCTTACAGGTCAGTGTATCAGTCACTGATTGTATTACTTCAAATGTTTGAGATCCAGAAAATCGATCTTCCGTGAGTGCCACGCTCCGAGGCTCTTCATTGCTTTCGATCAGCTTCAGCCTGGGATCTTTGTGGGAAGTGATCTTTGTGGGAAGCACTTATTTTGTCAGATAGGAGGGAATGTGCATTCTTCCAGCACAAACAGTGGTTCGGTTGCATTGGGCACGAAGATCGTCGGACATAGAGGAAAGCAGGGCGACGCGCCTGCATACACAGGTTCAGTGATGTCCCGCGCAGGGGAGATCCAACTCTGTTCCAAAAGGGCATGGCCAGAGATGGCGATCACCCATTGATCTCAGGTGTGAGCCCTTGCGGGTTCCAGCTGAGCTGCTCCGTGCCATTCAGAAGTTGCAGAAAAGTGATTCTCCAGGTTGCTCTTCTTTCTATGTTAGCTGATGGCCGAGGGAGAGGCGCATGGCAGCTTCTACGCTGCTTTGCTCCATACCTGCCAAATACTCCATGCCTATGGCAACCATAATTAGGTTCAATCTGCCAGTAGCCTGTCGAAGATACTGTAGAATCCCGTGCATCATTGAGTTTGTATTCTCCATATACATACATAATGTATGTATATAATTATATATATATTATATATATACTGTACTTTATGAAGACTCACCGGGATTGGCCAAGAATTTGCCGCAGCATTTGCACCACTTGGTGGACACAGCCCATATTACGGTCATTGCAAGTGAACAAGGAGTTCAACAAGGAGAATCAGTTCAGACTCGAGCCCTCTTGATTCATAGCGGATTTCATGCTTGAAGGGCTAGTCACGCTTCAAGGCACTTTTGCCAACTGTGTTTTTGGACCTTGTTAGACGCGACCCGTAGAGGATCATGGAGCGCCCCAAAGAAAAATGAAACACAGCCCCAAAAATGCCAGCAAAATTATTAACAGAAGTGACATTGGTGGCTGTGCCGGGACTTTGTATCACAGCATTTGTTGCCATGGCACCTTGGGTCGCAGACATTACACAGTGAGGCTTCAGGAATGAACTCATGGCCACACTGCATGCAATGCCCACACGGGAAAGAACGTTTGCTTCGCTTTCTGCACATTTGTCCAATCATACGCGTGTTCAATCCCCATTATACAGGCCATAGTTTACCCATGCATCTTTGAATACCACCCAAAATTTGCGGGTTGAGGCAGTTGGCAAGAAGCATGCAAATGCAACCGATTGGGTACCAGTGGATACTATCCATGTTCCAAAACGCTGACAAGGGCCAATCTCTTTGGTTAGTCCCTCGCCCTTTGCAGCTTGCCTTAGGCCGACGCTGCGATGGAATCGGAGGAGACCACTGTTGTAAACTGGTGTGGTTCGAGCAAAGGACGTGATTACCTTGGGGCATCTAGCTGTTGACCTGAGCCCAATGGATGCTTTGTTCCCTGCCATGCAACATTGACATGCTGTGTATAGACACAGGCCCTCACTAAATGCTTGTGGAACCATGGCGAGACCACACCGACTCACTGACAGTGGATGGAGCAATTCTGCTTGCAAATTGCCGGACAGTTTTGTACTGCTGCTGTGTTGCTTATCTTAAGACAGTGCCCTGCACTTTCAACATTGAGCCAGAAGTTGCTACAATCCCTACTGGAAGACCAAAAAAAAAATATAAGAAACATGCCCCAAGCTACAGACCCAAGCGACTGCATCTTCAACCCAAGCTCAACCGTGATCCAGGAGAAGATGTCTTTACGTGGACGAGGATTGGTTTTCGAAATGAGGAATGTGCTGGATGTTTTGAGCCGTGGTTGCGAAACTAAACAGTTCTACTGTTCTACTTGCTTGGTCACTTAGTATCAGGTTTGTTGTGCTTCACCTTACCTTAGATGACTGGCAGCCTTTTGTACTACCCTCAAAACCCAGAAGCTCTGGACAGGTCGCGGCCGTGGCAAGAAGCGGAAGTCTACAGGTGGACGCAGCAGCCTGGCAAGTTAAGTGGCTGCAGGACTTGTGTTGAACCCGCCCCTTTGCGGGGACTTCACCCTTGCTTGAGCGGAGGCATTGCGGGCTCCACAGCGAAAGCTCCGGCGCCGACTCCACCGACGACCCTGTCACAGGCGCAAGCGAAGCACATCCATGATCCGTGTGTAACTGTGATGTGCATTTGGTAGAATCATTACTGTATATATAAACATCTAAAAACACTTGGTTCATCAAAATACGTGTTTCTTTTTAAAAATATTCTGCTTATTTGCTTGTGTGTTTGTATTCTGTGGATGTTTGACCTGAATGAATGAATGGAGATGGTGAGAGGTGTAGTTGACGATTGGTGTCAAATAGTTGATTGATCTTGACTTGTAGAGTTTGCTTTAGCCACAAATCATGGGCCCTTTGCCAGACCATAGGATCCCGTTCATGACTTGTTTGCTTTACATGTCGTTTGATCAGTCAGATTTCAGCCCTGCCCCCTGTTGAAAGGTTTGCCTATGGCTTGCAGGTTATTTTGATATAAAATCTGATATAATATGATATAATATTGTACATATATATATATAATTATATATTATACGATTATATATGATTACAGTATACATATACAGTATATAATTTACATTGCATGATTGGAATTGATGAGCACGGCTAGCCAGTGCATTCCACAAGCCAGGCACCGCATAGCCTCTCTTCCAACATCCAGGCATGATTAAGTCGCGTGTCTTCCCAGCCCAGAGATGGACTACACTGAGTACAGATGAATCCAGGCGTTGCAAGCCAGTGGCCATTTGGTCTCTATCTTTTGAACCAATCCAAGTACCAGCCTTTGGGTCCTTAGCCGCATCTTTGACAAGCTTCTAATACTGCAAGCATTCTGAAATTCTCCCGACTGGGCCCTTGACTACTACTACTACTACTACTGCTACTACTACTACTACTACTACTCGTACTCGTACTGCTATTGCTATTGCTATTGCTATTGCTATTGCTACTACTACTGCTTCTACTACTGCTTCTTTTGCTACTACTAGTACTCCTGCCACTGCCGCTGCAATCGATTCCTGTCATGACATGAGCCCCTTCAAAATAGGGTACGTTGTTTCACTCGCCAAGCGGGAGAGTTCTCAGGGGCTTCGTTTCATGCAAAGTGCCCGAGAAAACGAAGAGCGGAAGAAGCAGGGAGGCCTAGCCACAATAAGTGACACACGAGTCACATGAGGCAACTTTGTTTCATACGGTTAGATTGTTGTTTTTGCAATCCATCCAGTCCAACTTGTTTATTGTGAAATCATGTTTTCCAAGCAAATTTGCGGTCATGATCGCAAGGGAACCTTTTGCTCCATGCTATGAAAAGATTGACTTTGTATGGCTGGAAGAAGGAAGTATGTGAATGTGCTGATTTGTATGCTCATTTTGGAGCGACGATCCACACCACCAAGGGTGCGATCGCCACACGAGTAGGGTCAATCACCAGCATGAGTTTAACGTCTTCTTGGTACTTGTCGATCTCACTGGCGGATTTGAAGCATAGAGGATTTCTTTTCGGTGTTCAAATTTCTAGGAGTTAGTTTTGGGTTCTCTCTAGGTCTCACTACTTTTGAAGTTTGGATGGTTTCAAGTCTAAGCCTTGGTGAGGTTGGAAAACGAAAAGCTGCGACATTTGGAGGCAAGGTTTGTTGAAATGGATGCAAGAGCGGAAAAACACATAATATGTTCAAGCAGGTTTGTCCTGTGCAGTTTGAGTTAAGATGACTCCAAGCTGTACTCTCCATGTCTTATATTTGGCCGCATGTGCCGTGTTGTGATGTGCCAGTCAGGCTTGGAACCCGAGCTTGTGGTTTTTTTGGCGCTTGGTCAGGGTTGCCTGGCTTGAGGCTACCATCTACTCCCCCTGTACTACTGGTTGATTCAGGTTTGTTCCCACAGTTGCAAACCGGAGACCAGAACCGGCTCCGTATTCTTTTCATCAATTGCACAAGCCGTTACACAGGACATGCAGTGGGTCATCAGAGGCTTCGAAGCAGAGGTTCAGGCTGAAAGCCAGGACAGGGCACTTGCATGTTACCTCGCACACACACAAGTAAGTAAGTTTCCCTAAAAATATATTAATCAAATCATTAGTGCGAGCGCTTCTACGGGGGCCGAAGAAGCGTGAGCTATCCTGAGTCCAGTTACTAAAGTAGCTAGTAGCTTACTCCCTTAATTAAGTAAGGAGACAGGACCACAGGCAAAAAACCTTGTACGATGTGTTTTTGTTTCCTGGAACCTCTAGAGTTGAACTGTTGCCATACTGGCACGTGGTACTGGTTTTGACAGGGAGTGGGCTACACTGTCCGCTTCCTTTGACTACTTACTACTCCATCTACTCCCAAAATGTTGACAGAATTTCAGCTGGTTTGAACTTCGTTTCTGCCTGAGAGTGCCAAGCCCACCGCGTAAGGAGACCCCACCCACCAAGTCCACGCCGGCGCTGGGCGTGGTGCGCCTTTATCGTCGCTCCTACAAGGCCAGAGGGTGCAGGGCGCAGCAGGGGGATCCAAACGGGCGGTGCTGCTTCATGGCACTTGCATTGACACAACTTGGGGCGTTTTCAAGAGCTTGAAAGGCTCCTCAACATACTTTAAGGACCTTGAGAACCCATCAGTTGAGACTTCAGGAAAGATTAAACATGGTGAAATAATATGCTAGATTTAAAATAATCACAGACTTACCTTTCACCACCAGCAAGCTTTCACCATCAAGCTTTATTCTGAAGGGGATCAACTAAGATTTATTTGAATTGACCTGTTAAATGCACTCATGAGGGCTACAACGCCATGGTGGAGCAGAGCATGAAGGACCTCCTGTCCCATGTGCTCGGCCGTGGGGTTTTGGTAAGGCTTTACATGCACAGGCACAACATTTGAGCTTGAGAAGCAGAGTTTCGGTTCCTGCAGCCGTCGTTTTGACAATTTCGACCGCCATGGATCCCTCCCATGACATTGGCGCCAGAACAGGAGCTGCTGAAAAAGCACGCAGATGATGCTGCGCAGGCGGAGGAGGTGGATCAGGTCGGGCTTCGTCGGGACTGAGCCGCCTTAAGCATGCATGCCTGGATGCCTCATGCAAGATCTAGTATTGATTTGGCCTCAGATACTTCGTGGAGAGCTTCTGCTTTAATGTTTGTTGCTGGGCCAGCACATTGAGCACAGGAAGTCAGAGTGATTGACATTTGCTTGTGCCCTTCATTCTGGGGAGGAGGTATAATTCTCGTACTTGTTTGTCTTTTTTGTTCATTGGGTCGAAATTGTTGGAATACTTGCAATCTGTGTGCACAAGACACATTATATATCCAACCATGCCACTGGCGAGCCCAATTTCCAGGCGAAGACGCTTCGAAAGATGAAGAAGCAACGGATGACGAAGAGCTGAGTAAAGCAAAATGAACATCATGCTCATGTAGTAACAAGAAGCTACTAGAAACAAGTGCATCGCTACTAGTAACAAGTGCCTTACTAGTAGTAACAAGAAGCTATTAGAAACATGAACATGCTCATGGATCGAGCGCATTTCGACGTCATGAATCGACAGGAAATCTTGTGAATCTTGTTCCACTCTCCCCCAACCCTATCAAGCACCTGGTGTGGCCAACTTCCGCCTTAATTAGTCTCACATGGCCAGTACGTGCCTGGAACAAGCTGAAGTTGAGTACCTTTAAACCATGCTGCCCGCGTTGCTTCCTCGAAGGATTCGAAGGATGCCTCTTATTCTTTTGTTGTGCCAAGACTGACCTCCCGGCTCAAACGACACTGCAAACCTCCAATCAGCTGTGTCCGCCTGGTGCTAAGGACTTCCCAAGGGAGTCATTTTGGTGTTTACTCTTGGAGGGTTTGGTTTGGTGCACCCGCAATTACTTTCTTATCCAAGCAGCATGTACATACAGGTGGTACATGTGTTCTGTGCACAAGTTTGTCCACTGAGGATACTGAGGGCTTTGCAATAAGGCAGTGATCTTGTGATCACCGAGTTTGCTGCATGCCATGCAAATTTGTCCCCCAAACCCCGGATGCGAACATATACCCCAGCCGAGGCTAAAAGATCCCAGCCTGTCCCGTCTCTGCAAGTTCATTCTTTTCGATTCAGGTCATTTGGAGCCATGATGCCAGCAGATTCGAAGATGCATATGAAGATGGGAACTGAGGACTGCAACAACATGCAACAACACTCTGAGCTGGAACAAGTTACATGTACCCATTGGCCTTCATCATATACAGGCAACACTTACCAGGGTGTACTGTAAGGTTTAAGGTAAGTTTAAGGGCGAAACATGGAAGCGAGTCTTGTAATCACTCCGTTTGTCCATTGGTTGCAAAGTACAACTCGTTTGTGCAAAAGAGTCTTATATATATATAATTGATCTTAATTGGCAAGGTGCTTTTGGTTTCTTGGCACAAACCATTATTGTAATCGGGAGCTTTTCTGGGAAGTTCCTTGTGGTATCAGATACTGGATTATCTGAGCACGAACGACTACTTGCACGCTGACCCCACTGCCTGAGTAAATTCAGCCAGAATCTAACAAATCTAGCAATTTTTGTCATGACGTACAATCTGTAAAGCGTCAGACATGTCGCCCTTTTGCAACTGTTGACATCATCCCGCTGGACCTGTAGGCTGGGATGCTCCGCATGAAAGCTTGCTCAGGTCTACTGTGGAAGAGTTTTGTGTTTCAACTATGTTCAACAGCGCAACAATCATGAGGCTAATATAGGCAAATAAATCATAATAAATCCACCTTGTGGATAGATGTGAAGCGCACCTCCAACTCTCTTGCAGGAAGCTCTGAGGTCACTGATGAGGACACCGGGCAGCATGGTACGGTACAGCATCATGTGGCTAGTTGTTTGATTGCTTTTGAGTCCACACGCAAGCTTATGGCAACCAGACATCAATCCTATTAAAGGAGCACTGCATAATAGAGACCAACACATTCCTCTTTCACAATGACAGTATGCATGGTTTGCAAATGTTTGCAAGCCTGCTTTTGCCATTGAATCATGAGGCCTGTGTTGTCGGAGGCAAAGCCCTTTTTCCATTTGCACCAAGTACTTGGAAACACTTCAGTGAGGTTGATTTGGTATGTAGTTTCTCAACGAATGTTCAACAGGGCCTTTTGTTCCCGCCTGTTGCACCAAGGCCACATATGCATCATGCAATTGAACCATGGATGGCTCAGGTGGGACTTGCCGCTTTGAGCCAGTCTTCCAAGATCTAGTTCTTGCAATCATTTGTATGTAATTACTGTATATGTTTCGAGTGATCTTTGGCTACTGCAGAACATGGGGTTGTTTAAAGTTTAAAGTTGTACTTTACATAAGTCCGTGTCACTCCTTTTTTTTTGAACTTTTGCTATGCTTTCCCCGTAGATCGATTGGTACACTGTGCCGTGAATCATTGGACAGGTTGGTGATACCGAGAAGCGAGGCTTATTGCGCCTCATGCGTATGGCTCATCCACAGCCTGGTGCAGCACCTTGATTGGGATTGATTTGACACGATGCGAAACTGCTAGAACTTGCGGAACTTTTGGGATTTCCAACTTGCAACCTAGGACCTGAGGGGCTGCACGATGATACGCATGCCATGTGTTCTCAAAGCCATACCGGTCATGCCATTAACTGAAGGTGAACAAATTGTCCATCATGATGTAACATTCAGAACATGTTTTAGAGAATTGCCTTTATTGGCAGCCTTGGTACTCGAGTGTACATGATGTGAATCAGTGAAGCGTCCATACATTCAGCTCTTTTGTGTCTCTTTCACTTATCCTACTAGCCAGACATTGAGGACGTAAGCAGACTAACTCCTGCGGAAAAGGATATTGTCTCGTCCTTCATTTTACTGCAATGCTGATGTTCTTTGTTGCCAACAAGGAAAGTGCATTTTGTAAAGGCTCAGCAATGCCTTCCAAAAGGACTGTTTCTTTCTTTGTTTAGCTTGGTTTTGTGATTCGATTGCCTTTAGGGGCCACGATTTGCTTGGCACCAGGGCACGATGTTTGAAAGAGACGGTGCCACGGCTGAGATTCCAATCGACAAGCCGCGACAACCCTCGTGGATTCCTACATGCGCGACCCACAAGAAGGAGCGACTGGAGCGAGCTGACTGGAGCTGTTCCCACGATGCCCTCACCAGAAACAACGATTTGCTCAACATCTAGGCTTCTAAGAGAGACAAGTCTAGGAACATCACTGTCATCTCCATTGCAACATGGGTAATTATCGTAGAGAATGTCAAGTTTGTTGCTTCGCTCAGAGAAATGCCAGTGACTGATTTCACTTTTCCCCGAAGATTTCTGGAGTCCTATTATGTGATAGTAAGGGTGGCTTTGAGAGTCAAACCAGACCTGCGCCACGTAAGTGAAACATATATAATCTTTGGAGCAGGTTTCACGTCAGACCCAATCAACGTCGCACTCACCAAGCTAGATTCATGATTCATGATAATTCATAGAGATCAGAAGGACACCCATGGAGAAACGACATATCCAGCAGCGTCCGTGCGACACACAAGCCCGTTGCGTTCGCACGAGGACTTCAGCACCTTGCCAACGGCGGCGCGTGGAACTCAGAGAAAGGGAGTCGACACCACGCAAGCACTGCGGAAGTGGGTGCGATACGGTGTCTATATTTATGTTGCAATCATATTACATATATATATATATATGTATTATCATGTTATTACATCATTATGTTGAAGTCAGTAATTACTCGTATAATATCCAGACCACCTGGGGCAAACCAGCAGATCACCAGGATATTTCTGAGGACAAATATGATGGTGGTCCATGCAGCCCTTCGGGACTTTGATGCCATCACTGTGAAGGATCTTAACACGTGCCACCGACAGAAGCTGATGCCCTATGTACACCAGGGTTGACGACAATGATGGTTTGTCTTGTTAAGCTGTTCTCGTCAGTCAGTGGAGCGGTGTCTTATCCTGTTTGACAGAGGCTTTCTCGAGGAAAAGTCGGCCAGATTTGTATGATTTGTCAGAGGATGCTTTTGTTGGCAAGTGTCGCGCCGCACTGTTTCAGGCTCAGCATGATGCAGAAATCGGCTTCCAGCCCTGCCCTCCGCTGACCCACGTTCACCGATTGAAGGAGTTTGTCGCATCTCCAAATGTCAATCGAAAGATAAAGCATCTCCATTGTCGTTATGATCGGCCCCTTTTATTGACTTCTCGACTTCTCAGCTTTTTGTGTGCACAGGGAGATGACCAAAGAGACGAGCTGTGTTTGCTGGTTCCGCAAGGGAATCCCGAAGGGAACTCTTGGTGACCGCTGTATATATTCCAGGTGCTTCAGCTAGATGAGTCAGTCTCTTGAGATGAATCAGTGTCCACACGCAGAACTTCGGAACGAATCGGATGCACCAAGAGAATACTACACTACCGGTATAGTTGCCCGAGAAAGAGTTGCGCAAGAAAGGGTGCAAAGACCTAGTTTTTCAGGTTGTGTGGGGTCAAAGGCCCAATCAAATCCTGGAAATGTCCGGATCTGAAGTAAGTCAAGAATGTGCAACTTGCATGAAGCTGCTACCTTCGTCCATCAATATTTACCAGTATTTGCCATTGCCGATTGCTTGCATGCTGACCCTATATTCTTTGAGCATGGTCAGAACAGCTGCCGGTCCGGAAAAGGAGCACCAGAGTTGATTCTGACACACCCAGCAAGCCAACGCCCTCTCACATTGCACTTTAGTTTGCCACGGTACATCATGGTGTATCAAGGGGATCAATAGATGGTGTTCCAAAGACCACTCTGACATTGGCCTGTCAGATGGTTGGAGTGTTGGACACTACAGCCAGTTTCACTGAAGACACGGCACTGATTTGAGAAAGCACAGCATGCTGGCTGCTACAACAGTATTTGCTGTTGAATTCTGTTGTTCCTAACGGGTGTGTTCCTTTTTGGTCACCACAAATGCATTTCCTTTGCTTTCATTGCTTGAACTCTTTGGGTGTTTTGAGAAGTGTAAAGTCAATATTGACTAAAGTAGATTAAAGGCATCTTTTTGCACATCAAATCTCAGGTTCAGGAACTCACGAAGCGGTCCGAAGCAGTTGTGGGATGTTGCGGGGCCACTTCTTCGTTTCAAACAAAACTGAGACTTTTGGGTGCTATGAAGTGCAATGTCATGTGGTAACGATCCAGTGCAGTGTTGCTGGCTGGGTCACTGGAATTTGCTGAACTCCCCTGTCACACCTGCGTCCAGGTCGATATGAACAGTATTGGTTGAGGAGACTGTGCATACAGTACCGTTGGTTCCTGGTAGGAATTTGCTTGTGTTGATGCCTGGTGTGGTACTAGCTCTTTCCCTTGATACGTTAATATACGTTCGCAGTGTTTGTTGCGATTTGGGTGATGTTTCGATTGAGGCGCTCTCTCCGCTTACCTACATTTCATTCATTCAGAGATAGCAATGTCATGCAGTTTCTAACCCAATGCCGGGTTCAAGTTTTTTGAAGAAAGACTCCAATGTCTAAATCTGAACATGTTTCCACCAAAAATTGGACAACACCAAAAACGACAGGTCACGTTCACATCAACACAACACTAGCGAGCACAGAAGTTGCCGCACGATAGCACACTGCACGATGATACAGATGTTCAAGCGCAATTGATCAAGAAAGTCAATAAGTCTTGGATGAAGTTTTCATAAGTTTTCCTTTATACAGTATTTTGTTTGAGGGTGATAGGACCAGGTCCTAGATTAGAGATGTTGTTCTTTTTTTGCATGTGTCAGGGTGTACCCTGTGGACAACAGTGCCGATCAATTCCACTCTTGCAACACAACTCATGATTGGAGCCGCTGTATAAAGTGCTGAACCAGATAAAGAGTTCGCAGCTTAGACACGACAGTGCAGTGCGTCTTCCTTTGGCTCGTCCTTTCAGTGCAGTGCTGTTTGCTGTATATAGTGGCCTAAAAGTGGCAACAAAAGAGGCGAGAGTCGCGCGGCTTGAGCACGGGGAATTTGGGATGATGGATGTGCTTGGGCTTGGATAATTCTCAATATCGTCAGTGTTTGTTCAATTGACGATTTTGCATGCAGTTCAACTTTCAAGGTCGCCTCCCTCGGGAAGATTGTGTTTGGGCTAATGGGAAACAATCATAGTGCGCCTTCCAATCTGATGTCAAGATTTGATGTGCTGACCTGAAGCTTGTTTTGTGTCATATTTCCTTTGCTACCTCCACTATCCTACTGAAATGTGAACATTCAGAAATGGCTGTCAGGTTGTTAGTCCTGGAAGATTGTTTGTATTGTAAGACGTGCAGTGGTTTCTTCGTTCTGCCCACAGTGGCCCATACGTTTACTTGCTGAATACTCAACAATCATGAAATATCAAAGAACCATAAAGAACAGATGCCTTTTCACCAGACCACAATCTATAGTATAAAGCTGCGTCCGGGTGTGGGCTGCTCCCACCCTAGCCCCTTCAGAATGTCCTTTTTGTTGGCTCATCTACGCAGCTTGTGCAACAGACATAGACATAACAAGGAAAAATAAGGCGAGATAAATCAGACATCTCACTCCACAAGCACAGTTTCCTCGTTTCAAAACAGAAGCCGGTAGAGTCAAGACCCACATGTGCAGCATTGACGCTAGCCAAAATTGTCTTCAATGTCCACCATGTTCAACGAGTGCAAAGCAGCCGTCAAAGAGGTGTTGAGCAACTGCCCGAACTTTTCTTGGCTTGTAATTTTCACCCCAATCAAGCAGCAAGGTCCAGATGTGTTTGTGAGCCAAAACATATTTATCGATAGGTTGTATATAATCAGAAAAGATGTAAATACATTTATCATAGTCATTTGCATGTACTTCAATGTTCCTTGATTTGCCGGATGTTTGGCCAAGGCAGGTGGTTTGGAGCATGGCCTTCAGATTCTGTTCCCAGATATCCAACCAGCTTTGCCCGAGAGACTCCGAAGGCATCAGGTCAGAGCAGCTCAAACTGGCCCAGGCTCTTCTTTCGATGTGGTCGCTTTGAGCCGCAGCTTGAAAGGAAAAGACTGGAGACAGGCCAGGAAAGAACGTCACATCATGGGATTTGGACATTTCTTTGTGTATTTGATTGTATCATATTGTATCAGGATCTGTGTCTTTTGCCAATTGTTCACTGGGTGCACATCGTCAGGCACTCCACAGGTTCGACGCCTTCTGTGAAGCCCGCGTACGAACCCCATGGGTGGAGGTCAACAATCCGCTGGTTTTTGATTTTTTTTAATTGAGAAATCTTGAGAAGTCTGTGTGTTCTTCTTTTCGTCCTTGCAACATCTTGTAACTTTGCAGCTATCCGGAAGTGATTTCAGGAAGATGAAGATGGACTTTTGGTGGCTCCCTTTGGGATCCTAGCGGTACTGTAATATGTGGTGACTATTGATGGGTCTTCGGGTATCCCCGTTACCCATTCGCGCTGAGGGGCAGCCTGACCTGGTCGCTTTCAACGTTTTAATCCGCGATGCTCCCTGGGTTGCAGGGCTGCATCAAGATCCAACGGTGGGAGGGCTTGATATGTTTAAGTCCAGGAGTAGACAAGGCTTGACAGCTGGTAAGAAGATTTGTGAAGCTTGAAGATTCTTTAGCAGGGGCAGCTCTTTCCTTGTTCTATGTCTTTGTTTCATTTTGTTTCAACAGTTCGAAATGATTACCACGGCTACTAGATCAAATACTCTTGTGGCATTTAGCGCCCAAGAAAGTTCATCGTAGTATTGACATGTATTACTGTATGTTTGTTTTGGCTATCGCCGCTGTTAGCGACCCCAGAGGAAATCGCGATTTTATGGTGCTGTCAGGTCCTCGTTGATGTGAGGTGGGGTGGGGTGGAGCACAGGATTGCCTGTCACAGGGAAGCACCAGGGAGACATTTTGCGGGAGGCACCAGGGAGACAGGAAAGGACCATTTGGACAGCCTGAGGCACGAGGGAGGCAGGAAAGGAATGATTGGACAGCTTGCGAGGCACCAGGGAGGCAGGAACGGATCCATTGGACAGCGTGCAAGGCACCAGGGAGGCACCAAGAAGGCAAGAAAGAACCATTTGGACGGCTTGGGAGACACCAGGGAGGCACCAGGGAGGCAGGAAAGGATCAATCGGACAGCCTGTCGAGGCACCAGGGAGGCACCAGGGAGGAATGAAGGAGGCAGGAAAAACCATTTGGACAGCCGGAGAGGCACCAGGGAAACCGGAAAGGACCAATTGGATGGGGCATGTTAACGTTCGCTTGCACGTGCGTCACGAAGTTGATGCTTCGTGGTAGATGTGGGGAGGGGTGGGGTGGGGTGGGGCATGTTAACGTTCGCTTGCACGTGCGTCACGAAGTTGATGGTTCGTGGTAGGGGGGGGGGGGGGGGGGGGGGGGGTGGGGCATGTTAAGGTTCGCTTGCACTTGCGTCACGAAGTTGATGCTTCGTGGTTGATGTGGGGTGACGCAAAACGCGTCGATCGATATATGTCCGCAGTTTTCAGTTTCGGTGGAACAACCGAGGAAATTTGCTTGAGGCGTTGGCCCGAACGTGGCCGCAAGTGTAAAGAAAATATATACACCTGCAAAACGCGTGTGCGCCAAAAAAGAGTGCACTTTCTGCTCTTCCCCAATCTAAATTCCACCTTACAAGTGCTGACGCCTGTGAAAAATGGGATGAAAGCACATATGATCCAAACTCTCCCACATGAAAAAATGGGAGGTTTTGAGCACTGTCCACTTTGGCAATGTGCGAACCGCACAGGGTCACTATTAGCGGCGGTGCCTTGTTTTGCTATGCTCAGTGCTATGCTCATATTCTGTCAGCAACGAGTTCTCACCGACGAGTTCTGTTTGCTTCGTTTGCTGAGAAGTGCCGGTCCAGTTGCACCATGTTGAACCTCCAGGTCATGTCGGTGGAACTGATGCAGGACATCTTGCCAATGAGGCTTGATGCAAGCCAAGCATGCTAAGGGCAAAAGGCACGGTGCTTTGTTTTCTTTGGTTCTTCATGGGTTCAAACAGACTCAGCATTTCTTTTAGAACCCAAAGAACAGAAAGCACCTTGACCAGCTTCACATTGGTTCTTCCTTTATTTCACGGAAGCCTCCAAATGCAGCTGGCCTTAAGCGATGCCAGGCCTGACGTGGTGACCATTAGCACGGTCGTCAAGTGCTGCACTGAGAACTCAGTGTGTGGGACCACAGAAATCGTCGATGTCCGTGGTGTCGGGACGGTCTTGGCCGGCTTGTGGGAAAGGTTATGATGGTTATGAAAGGTTGCATCAGTAGCTGGAGGATTTGGCAAAGGTGGTAGTATTGGTATTGAACGACGCGTTATGTCATGCAATTTGCATGATGGTTGAGTGACAGTTAAGTTTGATAGTTTGACTTTTACTCTCAGTATACTGCAAATTCAATTGCTAGTCCAGCGATACAAATTTGGGCGTGGATTGGCATGTACTTGTATGTTCCTTGGCAGCTCAGTTTTGCTACGACGCTACGATGTCGAGGTGGCTTCCAAGCACCCGGCTGCTAGCCTTTGCAAGGCGTGCTTCTGTTGCAACAGACTACAGTCGGACAACTTCAAACCAATCTCCGTTGACCCGGTGGCTTCATGCCAGACAGGCAAATAATCTCCTCTCCAAACGCATGCGCTTTGGATCCCTATATAAATTTGTGTTGCCATCTTGATCAAGAATCCTGTCGTGCCCAGAACATCCAGAACATCCAGAACCAAGGTTTCACTAGAGTTGCTAGAGCGCTCTATGAACGTCAGAACCTCTCAGAGCCAACGCTGGCACCAGTTACTTTTTGTTGGTGCAACGGTATTTGATCATATTGGGACTCCCGCATCATGGCTCTTTCTGAACTTCAGATTCAGTTGTTTGAAGATCTCAAAAGGCGTGGATCAAAAAGCCAAGTAATTCTGCAGTCAAGCAAAGCAGTCTGAAGGTCTGGTGCAAGTGGATCAGAAGAAATCAGCACAAGCAGAGGACATCAAGTCTTGACATTCGCAATCCTGGCATTTCTGGCACTTTGGAGGCAAAGTTCTGTGGAGGTCGACCGAGTGGCACTTTGGCAGCAGGTTTCTTTTTCCCAGAAAGGGCCTTGTGATGACCCGAAAGGGCCGAAAGGGCAACAGAACATAATAGAACGCGGTCGACCTGCGACCAGCGATGGGTCCAATTTGATTCAGGCCTCTTTGGGCCATATATCAAGATATTGCTTTAAGACTTCGGCAGAGTTTCGGGACTAGGGTAAATTGCAACAGTAATCAGGGTATTTCCAGACAGTTATGTTGTATGGTGTTTTTCCAAGCTGTGACCGGTGTTTTTTGCGTCAGTGACCGCCACCCGGTGTTTTTTGCGACGGTTGCCCGGTGTTTTTTGCAACGGTTGACCGGTGTTTTCTGCGACAGCTTGTTTGACCGGTGTTTTCTGCGACAGCTTCTTTCCGTCGCCGTATGCAAGAGCTGATGCGAGCGCTGCTTTGGGGAGGGCACAGCGCCTCTCCCCCGAAGCCGCAAGCAGGCTCACCGCATCTCACAAGTCGAGCTTCCTTCTCAGCATGGACATCTAGCAGTTTTCCAATGCCTGCTACAACCAAGATGTCTACGGCGCGACAACAGAGTGCGGTGCCGTGCCCAATGTGCTGCGACATAGCCTGCCGGCGGGAGGCTTCAGCAGCAAGCAGCAGTCCAACATATAAGCCTTCAACATAAGCCTTCACCATTCACGTCTTGCAGTTTTCCAGCGCGTCTGCTTGCCTGCTTTACAACAAACGACAAGCGCCCATGCGCATGACTTGCTTGCGCCATAGCTTCCTGGAAGCCGCGGTCCAAGCGCGGGCGGTGGCGATGCTGGTGCGAAGCTTGCTGAATTGAAGATTGCAACCATTTGGCAGCACCTCAAAGACCTCGGTATTGGAGAAATTTGTGCCACTGGAGTTGCAGGCTACATGCAAAAGTATCACATCCAATCTTTGAGCCAGCGTTGTCTGACTTGGCTTCGAAATCACCGGGTTCCTCTATCCCATTTTGGATTGCGGACAACAGTCGACCACGATGCGTTTCTCGGAAGGTTCCCTGGCCATTCTGACATCAACGTTGCCTTTCCGCCTCGTGACCATCCACAGACACCCAACGCTGCAGCCGAGGAAGCCAAGACAGCAACAGATGTTTCTTCGGAGCCTCCTACAGCTGCCCTTCCGAAAACGAAACCGAGCCGAAAGCAGAGCAAGGATCAGTTAGTGTGGGAAGACGTGGCACGGGTGGATTTGGGGACTCCCTTGCTGTCAAACAAAGACCTTCTGCATCATCTGCGGCACAGAGGCGAATGGAGTACATGCCGCGTCTCTGTCCGCATTGCTTGGCAGAATAAGCAACGAGTCCAAGCTGAAGTCCGGTGCTTAGAGAGTGCTGCGTGCCCGTGCCGCTGGCGCGCGCACTATATACTAGCTGCAGCTATCTACCAGCCAGGCACGCTCATTCTACAATGCAGTGGTGCTCATTCTGGACATGAGGCATGTCTTGCTGCTACTGGGAAAGTCTTTAATGCAAAACAGGAAACTCTGGCAGTGCAATTCTTTGATAAAGGTGGGCGCACTGGCAAAAACTTACGGGCTGCGCTGCTAGCTGGTGGCTGTGCTGAATCGTCTTTGCCCACCAACACGCAGCTCTCCAACTGGCTGAAGAACATGAGGAAACGCAGAAAGCCGGCTTTGGATTGCGACCTACACATCGTCGAAGCTGTTCAGTTGGAAGTCAACAAGCTACCCCAGAGCCCGCCCAAGCAATTAGATTCAATGTTTCTATTGGAACAGCCACTCATCAGCGATTCGGAAGTGTGCGTTCTCTTTGCGTGCCCGGGTATGCTGGAAGCCCTCGGCCGCTACGACGGTCCTGATGTTGCTCTTGCGGTCGACACCAAGATGAAAGTACTTGACCGGGGTATGGGCGTGGCTACTTTGAGCTTGCTTGTGAAAGACGCTTTGCGACCAACCCATTTGCCGAGAGGCCCTGGTGGTTGTCGCACCCAAAGCCGCGCTTGGACTTCACATGGACTGCCCATAGTGCAAGCCGTGTTTCACGCCGAAACAAAGCCGAACTATATCCGCCTTTTCCAGAAGATCTGTGACCTATGGGCTTCTCGACAACCACGCCGCTCGCCGCTCCAAGAACAACTAACGCTCCAAATTCACAAAGATTTCCACCCCAGCATTGAGGAGGCTCGACTGCAAGTGCTACCGCTCTCGCGAGCGTGTGATGATTTTTTCCACCTGAAGCAAAATCTTTGACTACTATGCAAGCCAAATGCAAGCAAGTGATTCATCGCAAAGGAAAATACATCAAAAAGAACCTCGGGTTTGCTTTGGATACACTTGAGATTCTGCGGCTGGTGCCTACCTTGCCTCTCTTTAGCTGGCTGTGGAAAGCTTTCCTAGCCACGCTCGGTAGCCTTGGCGAGCCAGAGTTAGCCAACTACCTCAAGAGTTACGAACGTGTTCTTCCGGCACAATTTGCTTGCCAAATGTTGCCAGATGACATTGTCTACGTCAGCTTCTGGATTGGCTTTGACGGCATCATCTCCGGTTCTGGTAGCGGCAGCGAGCCCGCAGAAGCTTTGCATTCATCTTGGCAACGCGAGCTCAGTCAGCTCGGCGGGCGTGGCAACATCAACCATGGCTTGCAAGTCTTGCAGCAGCTCTACACGCAACATTGGAAAGATTGGTACAAATGGGGTGACTCTTCATCTTTGTCTTTTGCGCCAGTAAGTCAAGATCCGCAGCTCATCAATGGCACAGCTTTGGTTCGTGCTGGACGTACACCCGCTGCCCATTTGAACAAGTTGCCTCGTGATACCTTGTACATCCTGCACCCATGCGCCAATCTTTCTTGGGTCGCATTTGCAAGCGCTGCCAGAACATCCCCGCTGAACTGCAGCGTTGCGCGCAAAGTTCTCCATGTCCTTCTACACCCTGAAACCTTGACTGCGCACAGTTTGCCAGACCTCTTCGCTGCTGATGGAACCCTTTCCCTGGAGTCTTTGCGGTTCCATTTTGAAAGCATCGTGTATCTCAAAATCAAATCAACTTCGATACTATGTTCTTGCCTGGCAGCCGCCATGCATGCACAATGCGAACATTCAACATTTCTTCGTAGTTGCAGCCTTCCACACTTTTCGTCTCCGGCTTTGAATCTTTCGACAGTGCCAGCCAACAAGAAAGGTGGGCGAAAGAAAGCTTCCAACCTTCCCCCGCGCAAACGCCGCCGCGTTTCTTCCTGATGCCACAAACAAAACTTTCTTGCTGCCATGGAAAAAGGTGAGACATCAAACATTATCTAACGCAGCTCTTTCGTTTCTTTGGTCATTAAACGTTAAACTTTGCATTTTTCATACTGGCTGTGCTTTACCGATTCTGCTCGTCGATTCGACACTTCTTCGCAGTGCGTAGCCATACTGTACGATCTGTCACCGCTGCCAGGTCTTTCTCGCCTACCGCGTCGGGGCGGGGTGCGGCGCCCAACCAACTATACGCACGGTTTTTCTTCTCCCGTTAGCGCCCGCCTTGCCGTGGCGGAGAAGCTCAGTACCGCGCAACTGCGCGGGAAGCTAAGCGGCGCTTGTCGGCCTGCAGCTGCATCTGCTAGTGCTTGGTCTCTTGTATAGCTGTATGTCGCGATTGCCGGTTGCCATTGCCGGTCGTTGCAGCGGCTAGATGCCTCGGTGCTGCTGCTGCTGCTGGTGCCTGCTGCTGCTGCTGCTGCTGCTGCGGCTGCTGCTGCTGCTGCTGTGACCGGTCCGCGTGCTGCCTTTGCTGCTGCGTTGCTGCTTGCAAGGCAACAACAGCTGTCGCAAAAAACACCCCTCACGGCTGCAAAAAACACCGCCGTCGCAAAAAACACCTCGAGACGTACGCTCCGACGAGTTGTGGGCTGACCACTGTTGCAAAAAACACCGCTCACTGATGCAAAAAACACCGCCGTCGCAAAAAACACCTCGCGTACGCTCCGACGACTTGTGGGCTGCCCACTGTCGCAAAAAACACCGCTCACTGACGCAAAAAACACCACCGTAGCAAACAACACCGTGCAGACGTCCACAAAAACACCGGTTCCGGGCTCACCGTGTGAAAAAACACCCGTGGAACTGTTGCAATAAACACCTTCCCCAGAGCTGTCGCAAAAAACCCTGAAACAAAGTACTGTCGCAGAAAACCCTGATTACTGACGCAATTTACCCGAAGCCCGAAACCCACATGCCCGAAATAATCCCGAAATCCCATTCGATCAGGGATGTAAGTCCAAATATCTTTAAACTTCTGGATCGAAAACGCCAAAAGAAGCATGAAATGTTGCTTGCAGATGGGCAAGGGTACACACTAAACGAGCCAGTATATGATTGCTCACTGAAATGGGAGACATTAGGAGAGATTGCATTATTGAGGGTCCTCTTGGAAAGACCTGTGTCCCTTTGGAGGATGAACCGCATTTGGTTGATTTGCTGGTCATTTTCAAACATTCATAAGACTCATAAGACTCACCAACTTGTCACCAACCCTTGCGGCACGTCCATAGGGCTTGGGTTTCTGCATTTCTCAGGCCAGGAACTCACTGATGTTTGGCTTCTGTCAAGGCTGCTGCAGTTTGCAACAGTGGGGCTGTTCGGTGTTTGTCAGCTTGCAGTTTCGCACCCCATTGCAAGTACATTCCGCGACTAGGTTTGACAGCTGTGCTCCAGAATCAGTCATTTTGACATTTAACTATGTTCAGTTCATCTATTCACTGTTGCGTGATGATCGGACGCTGCATGCTCCAACATTCATGGATGCCATTTGCCACCTTGTCGCCTTGCTCCGTTTTGCTCATCCCAAGACTGGAGGAGTTAGTGGCCAGCTGGTTTAACAATCACAACACTGTAGACCAGAGTTTGAACAGAAGAAAAGACACTTCAGCCAATCATGTTGCCAATCATGTTGACAACTTTTGATCGGTCCAGCAGTCATAGACAGGTATTGTTGCCAAGAACCTGTTTTAATGCTCAGCCTTCAATGTTGTTTGCTTCCTGTCGACTGCGACCGTGCAAGCGCCGCAGTCGCGTGATAACAGGTACTACACTCCTCCGTCTTGTAGATGTGACTGCTGGTGTCTGACTTTTAGACTTGTATACAATCCGTGGCAAGTGTGATGTGAGTCCAAGCAAGGTATACTACATAGGCTGTTCCATGCTTCATGCATACAAATGTCTAAGAAGTTCCAGCTGAAAGGCGCTTGTGACTGAAAGTGCTCCACACGGATTGTTGCAGTCTTCGCCCAGACACCGTCTTTCGGGGGCCCTCTTTGTACATCATGCTTCCAAAAAAGCACCACTTGTGTTTTCGTACGAGCTCCCAAGGGTAGAAAAAAACCGCTTGTAAGAACCCATCTTTGACACAAATCATGGAAGTTTACAGAGGACTCCTATTTTGCAGAGGGCCCCCATTGATTCATTTGTCATATTCACCACACGCCGACATAGACACAAACCCATCAATGCCCATGTGTCGCCATCAAGTTTTGCACTTTGAGCGAGGTAGCAAAAGAGACCCTATCCTTCACGTTCAGACGATTAGCTTCTAAACAAGCGTTTCTGAAGATATATTTGTTTCATTTTGTTTCCACGAACAGGAACATCATTTACTGCATCATATTTGCTTGGATCTTTGTTGGCACAGCATCACATCAACAGCTTTGCTGGCCAAGAGCCAGAAGCTGTTACAGATTACTTCGTAAACCTGTAACATATTGCATCCCAAATTTGGGACTGTCTCCCTGACCTCCCACTGCAAACGGCCGCTTCTTTCTTCGGCTGATCTTCCCATCATGAAGCTGGAGCATGACCAGAACCTAGGCAGAATTGGGTTTGTTCACGCGACGGACACTGTAAGGACTGTTCATGACTGTTCATTTGACAGCCTTGATAATTCCTCTATGTGGATACAGCAAAGAGTCGTTGTCACTTTGTCACCTGGCCGAGTACTTTGGTTGTCAGGTAATGACCACCAATCCCTGCTTGTTAGCTCCAATGATTTTTATGTTCGGATCACGCAAGCAGAAATGTTGATGGTAGTTGAAGCTTTGCTAAACCCATCGTCCAAAGCTCATGCAAAGACGCTGGCACAGGGGCTGAAAAGCACACAATTTAAAGTACTATATACGAGAAAGCTTCCACCACATGGTGGGATAGAAACGGTGTTTCACAGTGTAAAGGCTTTACCGTCTCACACAAACCATCACAAACCACAGTGCTCGCAGTTCTGGATTCGTCACAAGCTGAGGATGTCGTCCCTGATAGGCGGGCCGCTTGTGACCCAGAAGACTTTGGCTGCACAGCTCATCACAAGTCCACAAATGAGAAGCACAAAGTTGGAAATATGTTGTGTGCCTCGAATCTCATGACTCGACTCATAAGTCATACTGCTGCATTAGCACCCTTGCTTGCCTATGCTTGCCTGCTTTTCAAGGCCTTTCGAGGGGGTTCCTTTCAGTTGCTTGCCTTTGCATCCTAGCTGCTGAGAGGCGAGATTTTGTGGGACATATTGGTCCTTTTGGATGACAAGGCCCAGTGCCGACCAGTTGAATTCGGTCCAAGTTCATCAGCACATTGATGGTGCTGCGACTTTCAGAGTGTTATTTATTGACATACGCAATTTCAACAGTGAAGCAATGGCTCTGATAACCTGATTGAGATGCAATGTGGCAAGCTGAATGTTGTTTCAACCAGGGGTTCAGAGTAGAATCACCAGTGGCTTCCGACTTGGTCAAGTACTTGGTCATTCTAGTTTCCCTGTGTCAGCTGTTGTGCACTGAATCAACATTGTGGCTCAAATTCACATGAGTCAAACGATGAGCCGATGAGCTAACAACCCCTTATATAATTATATATATACATATGATTCACACTAGGTTGGAGGCCATTGCTACAAACAAAATGCATTCTTCAACAGATGCGGTCTCCTAGAGGCTCTTTTGGAGCTCGGCGGCTGCGCTCGTTCGGCGCCTAGGTTGGCCTGCCAACAGTCATATAAGTCTAGTCTACTCTTCACTTTGAAATCATCAATGAATGTGGATTTTGGAAAAGGATTGAAGTCATCATTGCTGGAATGCAAAAGCCTTTAGAGTTTAGGGGAGTCAAAGATGCACGGAATGAACGAGCTTCCTGGACTGAGGCTACTTGTTGATCCAGTGCGAGCGAAGGCGGCTCCAATGCTTTCTGCTGCAGGCAGGGGTTTCCAAAAGAGACAGCCTCACACGACAACTTCATTCCCAGATCCACACTGAATGGCTTGAATACATTTGTTTTGTGTTGTACATTTGTCACTCACGCAGGTCAAGAGTCCAGACAAGCAAAGTGCGGGCACCAAGTACCAAGCTATCAGTTTTCTAGCACAAGGATACTGTAGTGTATACAAATTTATACTTGGCATGGGCCTGGGCTTCTAGGCAAGTTGAGAAAACGTTAAATCCGGGTATACGGTATGGTGTACGTAGTAGTATTGTTTGACTATATAGATGTATTGGATTGTCCCTCACAACGGTTTGGTTTCCCGTATTTTCTTTGACAGGCTTTTTCAGGCTCACTTTATTGTTTTACGCTTTGAAGCAGAGGTTGCAGGTGAAGACCACCAGCCACATTGACATGTTCCTGTGCAGGCAAACTTCGCTTGAGTGATGGCGGCCATGTCAATCGGAAGCTTTGCCCGCCCCAAAAGAGGCACTTTGGTAGCTTGTTTTTGACTAGCCAAAGACTGTGAAGTTTGACTCTTGTTTTGATGAATGATTTCATTGATGTCATCGAGTTCTTGATGCCCATTCGATTCTTGACTTCCAAATTAGGGCAAAGTTTTGCTTCAGGTCCTCACGGCTTCAGAATGTGCGCCCGGTGCAGAGTGCATTGACCAAGCTTTCGCGGATGGTCAAGGCGTGTCGGGCGGCCTTGGAGCATTCTGCAGAGGTGTCAAAGTGTTTGGATGCTAGAGGTGCTGTGTGCCAAGCCTTGGATTTACATGGGTGAGCTGTTTAAAGAAATCCGGCACCACTTCTGAGCCATATTTGCTGTGCGTTTCTCTATTTCAAGATCTCTCCAGCTTTCCTAAGCTTGATGGGCCTTGCCAGGATGATGATCAGCTTGTCATTGCCAGTCTTTTGCCTTGGGTCGAGTGCGGAGACCAGAGCACACGCGGGGTGGCCAAGGATCCAAGGCCATGCTGTGCATAAGATTTTGTCGAAGGGCCCTACTGCAAGTTGTGCCCTTTTACAGTCCTCAGTTCATCATCAGCGCCACAGCTGCGGCGGACCCTGCAAGTCTGACGGCTGATGACTCACCCAATGCAACCATTGGATCGCGGACGTGTTTCTGAGGTAGGTATAACTAAGGATCCTCCCCCAATTAGTTTGGTCCGCCTAGTCCCGGCAATAGTACTGTAATCGCCTTTCAAAAGACCTCCTTCTAGCACAATTGAACATTTGGTGCACTAACTTCCTCCCCAATTATATATATATATATAGTTTGGTCACGTTTGGTCCACTCTTGGGGCCAATTTTTTGCAATACTAACCGCCGATTGTCCCTGTCTTAAATCATTGCAATTTCACCAATCACTCAGGTCATGGTCCTATTGCCTCCTCATTCAGAGATTTTATCTTGGGGATCTCTGCTCATGAACAGAGTTAGTCTTTGGGATCTCTATACAGTCATGAAGAGATTTTGTATTGGGGACCTCTCCTCATGAGATTTATAGAGTCTTGGGGGGATAATTTAAAGCAATGCGTTGCAATAATTTGTTATGGTCATGGTCATGGTTCTATGAATGCTTCTATATAAATTGCTGTGTTCTTACATTATCATACATATCCATGTTGACCATTCCAAACAAATAGGGATTGTTGAGCCAGAAAGCAAGGAAAGGCAAAGTGCTTGGCCCATGTTTGGGGTCCTTGACCGTCCTTGATTCAAAACACACTTTAACTTTAGACCTGAACACACGAAAGTCAACGGTCCAAAAGGGGCTTCGCTACTACGGGCTAAAATGACTCATATCGCTTCAGGGTACCCACCGTTGGGTCTGTGGAAACAAGGGGTTCTTTTCTCCCAACGCCGAAGGCGCTTGTGCCCTTCGGGCTTTGGGCCGCTTGGTGGGACCTGCCCACCGGAAGATTGTGGGCCCAACGTTGCTGCGATGCATTCGAGTCCACAAGCTCAGACGGCTCAGAAGTTTTCGTCTTTGGCATTTGCGGTTTGGGTGCCGGAAAACTGGTCACATTTGGGCTGTATGTGTGACTGGAAGAAATCAAGCCTTTTGTTGCTTGGACCGCTGCTGGACTCGGAACAACACCGATAGTCGTAGTCGAGTCATAGTGTATCCGTGTATGATGCATCTCATGGTGCTGTTAAGGTTTTTCAACGGTTAGTGTTCAGCAAACTGAAGCCAGCAGCCAATCGGATGTTGGCGAAAGGCAAAGGAGAAAACCGACTTCGTCGATCTGAGGTGTCTTCCCTAAATGCCGCAGCAATGACAGAGCTGGGTAACACGCTCCAGCGCTTGGTGTCCCCAAATGATCCGGTGCGCCCGATTCATGACGTCGTGGAGATGGAGTG